CTTTAGAGGCATCAAACCTTAGTGAGTGGTTAGTAAGCAAAAATTTTAATCAAGCATAGGTGGAAACCATAAGATACACTAAGTAAGATAGTAAGCAGGATATGTGCCTGTCAAGCATCAAAAGGAAAGGACAGAAGGACCATGAGATAATGAATTTTCAGTAGGTATTAAATATACATGAGGCACCTGGGCTCTAAATATTCATGATATACTATACAAGGGGCACTAAATATTCATGAATGCTCAATATTTATGAGGCCTTAATTTGGCCACTCGTTCATTGGCAACACCCATTCTAGCTCCATGGATCCCCTGTCCAAGAAACACAAACAAAACTCATGACTATTCAGCAGGCTCACTGGTGAGCTACAGCTGGGGCCAGGCACACTCACCCCTGCAGCTCTCCAGCATAACAAGCGTGCGCCCTTGGCCCAGGGCCCTTTCTATCCTAGCTTCACCCTCAATTTGGGGCACCAAACCACACTCTTCAAAGTTAAGCCTAGGGCCAGGGAGATAGCTAAGTAGAATAAGTGCTTGCCTGGCACACACAAGGGCCCGAGTTCAATCCCCGGTTCTGAAAAAAAAAAAAAGGAAAAAAAAAATCCCTGATAACAAGTTTGAGGAGGAGGTGAAGGCCACTGAAAGGAAAGATGAGAAATGGGAGAAACGAGACAGAACACCGGTCTGGAATCAGCACTAGAGAAGAGCTCCCTGTTCTCTCGAGGGTGCTATGAGGGAAGCCAGCTAGCCATGGCAAAGAGACCAAAGGTGGACCGGGTCAAAGGTACGAGAGAGGCCGTTCACACTAGAGCGGCATCTGAAGTGACACACTGAGCCTCAGAGGAGTGAGGAGTGACAGAAATGACCGGTCCTGAGGTGCAGGCTACACAAGTTGATCAGTCACTAACGCTAACCACACACTAGAGCGTGTTGATAGTCACCACTAGCCAGGAAGTTAGATAGCTAAGAACTAGGACGGCGCCTTTGCTAACGCTAAAGAAAAATAGTATATGGGTACCTTGAGGAAGTGCGCTGTTACCCACTTCTGGTTCATTTACTTCAATTGTGTCATCCTCTGGGTAGAAGTAGATCTTATAATACCTTATTCTGTATAACTCTTGGTTTTTATCAAGCAGCTCATCTTCCACATAGGCATCAAAACGTAATACCTGTTGGAGTCATAATTAGAAACTATGAAACGAAAATCCAACACACTGAAAATCAATACAGTTACTGCTCATCTACTTTTTATTCGTGCAAAGAAAAGAAAAGTTGTGGGGTTTTTTTCCGAGAAGACATTTTACCCATTAGCTACTCGGACAGACACACAATCTAAGTTACAGCACATAAAGATTGTTTTACACTTTCATCACTGTCTGGTTCGAGCGAGGAAATGATATTCAACAATAAACCCATCACTCAGCCCTACCACAGGCTGTGGCTGTGGAATTTTTACAACTCTAAATGCATGGGTTAGACAAACAGAAGTCTTTCTCACACAGTGAATGTTAAGTTTTGTTATTTTTTCCCCTTAATAATAACACAAAGCTACTTGGTTCTGGGATACAATCCTGACTCTCCATCCTACTGACTGTTTGCCATGAGGCAATCTAAGCAAGCAAATCTGGAATTTTTCTAAAACATGGAGACTCCCCTTCAC